TTCTTCCAGAATTCTAAGTTATACAACAGCCAAATCAACAGAAGGAATACACACAGCATGGAGGTAGAAGGTGATCTTGACCTCAGTTTTCCTACTTCTCTACTGGGTTAAGGTCCACACATACACACACACACACACACACACACACACACACACACACACGCGCGCGCGCGCAGCAGGCTCTGGCTTTCTGCTACAGCTGCAGCGATGAGTAGGTACACTTTACTCTGCCTCAGGTATGCTGTTATTCTGGCAATTTCCAAACCTGATGTGGCAGCAATTACCTGAGGAGTCAGTCACACAGGGTGCAGGGAGACAGAGGAGATGCTGAGAACATCCACAGGCTTGGAAAAGAACATTGTTTACTAGACAGGTTAGCAAAGTGCCTAATATACTTGCTTTTAAAATAGAACATTTGGGCTACTGGGCTAAGTGCAATTGTGAACTTGTTCTGGAGCCTAAAATATTTAGAACAGATATTTGAAAATTTTTGTTTAAAAGTTGTCCTTGAAAAAAATGTAAATTTAGCAGATAAAACTCGACAGAAAAATATTGATAGGATGAAATTTTAGTACCATCAGTAAGCATATCTATCGGCATCAACCATGCATTTCCTCTAAAGTGTGAATACATGGTAGCAATGCTGTATATGTATGTATACAAACTGCTACAGTACTCAATGAATAAATGTCATTATAATATACACGCCCAACCATTCTCCTTATGAACAACTACTACTGTTGGGGCCAAAGAATTCTGATATACAACCAACTCTAGGTCTTTTTCCTTCTTTTTTTTTTTTTTCCTTTTTCTTCTCAATACTGGGGAAGGAACCCAGGGCTTTAAGCATGTAAGGCAAGCATACTACCATAGAGCCACAAGCCACTACCCCTGGGCTTCTCTATTAATGGACAACAGGGAGAATGTGAAGAAATGAGGTGGATTTACTCATTGAGAACCTGGTCCATGCAGGTGTCCTGGTAGGCACTGGCAGTGTAACTATAGACACAGTAGACGTGCTCTCTGCCCATGAGAAGCCCACTATCTAATGGAAGGAAGTGACAAATAGGCATGAGTGTGTTGATCAATTTCTAGATAAAAAGGGGCACATGAGGTGCCCAAAGTGTACTTAAGGGGGAAGTTAAAGGATGCTTACTTTGAGTACTCCATGTAGTTGTTGGCCAGGTGAGGCAGGGGTTGGAGCTACAGAGAGTCAAGCACATATGAAGTTCTGGAGGAAAGTGAGTCTCTTTCAAGGAACGGAGAAAAGCACTTAATGTGGCTGAGTCTTGGAAAAGGCAGTGGTGTGGAAAGATGAGGGGGAAGAACAGTTTATGAAGGGACACACAGCTATTAGAGAGTGTAGGTTTTGCCATAGCAGCAACAAGAAGCATTAAAAACACGGAAATCAAGGAGCTCAAAGTCATAGTTTAGAAGTATTACTTAACTCCGGAGTGGGCAGTGAAGGTGGGGATACTGATTAGGATTCTCAGAGGTGAGAATTCTCCCAGGTGAGATGATGGCTGTGTGGGCTGAATGATGCTGGGAATGAAGGGAAGCACAAAGAGAAAAGAAGCTGCTAGAAACAAAACAGGTAGCTGGTTATATGTGGGCAGCGAGGGAGAGACAGGAGCTGGAGATTGGATTTCCAGTTCCTCCTCAGTAGCTGGGGAGAGAATTGTGCCAATGCTGAAGGGGAGAGGTATGCAAAGAAAAGACTTTGGAGAAAGATAGTGAGGTCTTTTTTTGAGGAATTTTGTAAGCAAGCAAGCCCTTAAACTGGGGGATCCTCTAGTCTGCCCAGTGCTCTGACCTGGAGATGCAGATGTAGCTGTTAGTAGACAAAGAGCAACAAACAGGAGATGTGTGGAGGAATGAAAGAGCAGGCACTGGTCTGACCTCCAAGGACCAAATTTTAAGTCTCGGGCAGAGAAATCGTAGTTACAAAAGAGGAAATCCACCAATAATGCCAAAGCCTTGACCTGTGTATTCTTCTTTAATTCGCACGCTTGTTCTGGCCAGTTATTTACCAGAGTTTTAACAGGTCTGAAAGTATGATCTGATTGTTTTCTTTTGTTCACTTTGTAAGGCGAAAGCGGTTTCAATAATTGTAATCAACAAACATCTGTAAAACGACTGAAATAGACGCCATAAACCAAAGATCTCTGGGCCTCTCACTGCCTGGATTGGACTGTTTCTAAGGTTTCTAATTACAACTGGCTTTTACTTCAGCCCCAAATCGTGGTGCCTTAAGTCTTGTCTCTCTTCTCCTGATCTCCTGCCTCTTCCCTTCTGGGTCTGCAGCTCACTGACAGCTCAGAGAGATTTTTCTCTCATCAAAATGTCCAATCAGACACACACTTCAGAGGCAACTGTGGTCTGACCTCCACGTGGAGAAGACGCCACAGTGGCTCTGGGTACCCGGGTATGTGGGGACACACTGCATGTGCTTCTCTTGTTTCATAACACATGCTGTCTTTTCTTTGAAGACTGTGGTGGCCCTGGGAATGTGGCTTCCAGGGTGGCTGATTGGGAATATGCTGAGTTTTTTTTTTTTTTTTTTTAATAGCTGGCTCTCTAGGGGAAAAAAATGTCCTTCTTTGTAGTTTTAGCAAATTTTATGATGTAAATATTTTCACCATAGCCAATTTAATCTATTAACTTGCTATCACCAGAGGCAGGACAACATACAGTAGAGGCTCTTGTTAGCCACTGCGAGTGGCTCCTGTGCACAGATGCACCCTGTTCTGTTAGCCAGTGCGATGCTCCTGTGCACAGATGCACCCTGTTCTGTTAGCCAGTGCGATGCTCCTGTGCACAGATGCACCCTGTTCTGTTAGCCAGTGCGAGTGGCTCCTGTGCACAGATGCACCCTGTTCTGTTAGCCAGTGCTCCTGTGCACAGATGCACCCTGTTCTGTTAGCCAGTGCTCCTGTGCACAGATGCACCCTGTTCTGATTAGAATGGCCACGTAACACAAGAAAGTGAGTTGTTCAAAATACTGCTCAGTTCAAAGCGAAGGGGTCTGCTGATATGTGGTCGGCTGGGGTTAGCTCCTGACTTTTCCTTTGAACACAGGACGTCATGCACACCAGCAGTTCAAGGACCTTAGCACTTAACTGTTGTTTCTTGGTTTGTAAGTAGCTTTTCTATAATTTACGTTTAAAACTGAGATAACTGAGAATTATTTTGAATCTACTCTTTTTACACTGTGAACCAAACAAATGAGGTTTGACTTCAGGATAACAGCACAATCGATATTCTAACATGTTGAAGAAGAGAAAATATTTTATGTCACGGTTTTTTTCAATACTAAGCAAAAACTTTGATGGCACACTACATTAATCCAGAATGTATGTGGAGGTGAGAGCAGCAAGTGCAGCCTATTTCTCCATAAAACACACCTGTTAACACGAGTGTGCGCACGCATAGCATTGAGGGGGTGTTATGGATAAACGCTAGGGCTTCCTTTAAAGCATTCCTAACGAGAAGCACCGGTAGGACCAGAGCTGCTGTTATGTCTACTGTGTCTTTTATTTTGCATTCTGAAAGGAAATCAGCCTTCCTGGTAGTGCTAGGGAAGAAAGAGCTCTTTAGCATTTTGTGCACATATGCAAAGTCTCCCGGCCTCTGTTAGAACCTTGCAATCCTACTGGATGCAAAGGGGCCTTTTCCCAAACACCCTGCCCTGATACTCATCTCGGAAAGGTGATTTACAAAAATATCGCGAACACGATAAAGACACGGACAGCACAAACTTTTTTTGTTTTTCAAAAGCCAAATTTTAGAGACCTGTGTTTATACACAACACACAGATGCACAGTATATGTTAGTGCTCCTGCTTTCATAATTTTCTGTTTTGAAATTTCCTACAGAATAATGTTCAAAATGGCATGAGTAAGAGCTTCACAAAGTGGCCCAGTAAACACCCTATTGCTTTAGTTAACGCCCTGCCAAACAAAAATACCTCGCCGCCCCCTTTTTGTATTTAAGTTTCTTTGTTCAATTAGATGACTCTTAGATAAAAGTGTAAAGATTTTAGGTTCTTTAACAAAACCAAAAGTATCAGTCATTTTTAATTTTCAAAGTATATTTAAAGAAATGCTTACTTCAATATAAAACCCCATAGTAAACATTAAAAACATGGCTAGTCAATTGACTTTAATCCTAGAATATTACAAGTGGCTACTGAGTTCTCAATTTAAGCATGTATTTTATTTTGTACTTTTGTATTCTTCAATACAGATATCAAAGAAAAATGATGTGATTTTTTTTCTTTTATAAGATAGAAATCATTCTTTTTTGGAAAAACTCCATGCCGTGACAGAAAAAGGCATTGTTTTAAACCTTAGAATAATTGTTAGAAAAGAACTATAAAATTATAAACTTTTGGAAACAAATGCACTGAAAACGTCTCTAGGAAAAACATGCAACTGGCTAGGTACAAATTACTGGCACTGCCAGGCGTGCGGCCTTAAAAACTCACAGGGAGAAATGAGCACCAGAATCATCTCTAATGTTACAATGTAATGAAGGCCCAGGTATAACACATAAAAACTTACATTTAGCCCCCAAACTTCACCACCAATAATGAATACGGTATTTTCAGTCTTTAGGAAACAGCTGGCATCGTTCATTTTCATACCTCCATGGTGGTGTGTGGCAGTTATCACTTACTTGTTTTGGACTACGCAGAGAAGACAGACAGACAAATATGTCCCTCAAATGGGATTTTTCAGTGGAGGTGGGGGTGGCACAGTTTTCCAATTAAAACTTATTCTTAGTTCATTTTTCCTTTTTCTTCCAAAATGTCTCACTGGAACTTCACAAGATCTGCACTGCTCCACTGCTGCTCCATGCCAGGCTATTTGCCCCATCACTGGTGGGTGATGTTCAGATTTGGCATGGGGAAGCAGGTGTCGAAAGGTAGGTACAGATCACAGGAGTGAAAAAGAGTTTGAATAAGCTAATATATAGTCAAAAATATATATTCATTCTTGTACTAACAAAAAGTTGCATTTTAAAGAAATTCATTTATAACTTTAATTACAAAACAGTCAGTACACAATATGAAATATGCCAAACTCTTTGGCTTTCAAAAAGCCCAAGTCTGTAGCTCTATCAACCACATACATGGCTACCAAATGTCCAGTGTTTTACTGCTGTACATAAATAATGACAAGGCAAAGAACAGCAACTAGTCCAAGGGCTTGTAGGCCAAGGAACCATAGCATGAGCCAAAAGAAAATGACCACTACTGGTTCCACAATTCGCTCTCCAAAATACATCCTTGTGAAGCCCATGCTGAGGAGGGTTTTGTTCAGTTCACCAAAAAGTGTTCCCATCTTTTTGTAGTCATCTCCAATGGGTTCGCCAGGGTGGTTTTGTGATTCTTCAACATCCTTAAAAAAAGAAAAAAACCAAAGAGATGGACATAAGAAACATGTAAATATCTTTAATAATAATGCTCTCACTACATCTTCTCCAAATAACTGGGCGTACACTTGTGGTAATCATTTAGTAAATAATGTATTATGAAGACGCCCACAACTCATGAGTACGTAACTTCACACAGCAGAAGTAGTCTCCAGATGCAAGCAAGGCCCTGATGCTGAGAAGGAGGTCATCCTGAACTCCCTTGTAGGCTAATCTAACCAAAAGAACCTTTAGAGTAGGGAGTCAGAACGAAGCATAATAAGATGCTGTGTTCCTTATTGGTAGAGGGAGGGAGGAGCCATGGGTGGTGAATGTAGGCAGACTGTGAGGCTGGAGGAGAGAATGGGCAGATCTTTGAGTACCTCTGAAAGGAGCACATCCTTGCTGCCCTACAGTCCTGGTCTCCAAGAATATAAGATAATAAATCTGTGTTGTAGAATAAAATACTTGTTCCTTGGGATTGACATACTGTCTGTCCTACCTTTCAAGAACCGAGAAAGCACTTCTTGAGTTTTGTAGACTTAGCACTGCTAAATCCCCAACTAGACCATTGATTTGTAAGACGTGGGTACAGTTCATTCTCCCCCACTCACTCTCCAGTGGTTGGAATTGCACCAGGGTGCCTATGTAGACGAAGAATGATGCTTTTATTTCTCTTCTCTGAGAGCCTGTTTGCAGGGCCACCTTTCTGCCCATCTCCTGTTTCAGGAAGCAGGGCTCCTGGTCTCTCTCTCTTGGTAAAGACATTCCAGCAAACTGAGATGTTAACCGTTCAAGCTCAGCTGTCCGGAGGATGCCTAGTTGCGATCTTTCATTGTAAGCCTCAGCCAGCTATGCGGGCTTACATGGGGCCCTTGCATAGCTTCCTGTCAAAACACTACCGAGACTGTAAATGCTTCCTGTTAATCTCAACAGGGGAAACAAAGTTTTGAAATAGGATTACTTTTACACACGGCAGAAAACTGACTAAGAAGTCAGTGCCCGGGAAATCTCCATGTTCACCCACAATATCTTCCAAGAGTACTGATTTTTCTTATTGCCCAGTCTTACTACAATTCAGAACATCATGCTAGTTCTTAATGTTTTCAACCCACTTCTGGGGTTCTGATATTTGTTTCTTCAAAGGTTTATGTGTTGAGGTCTTGGTCTTTAGTATGATGATAGGAGGTGAAAGCTTTACTAGGTAGGGCTTCGTGGGTAGTTATGCCAAATGGGGGTTCTAAAAAGCAATTACCATTCTTTCAAGAAGATTGTGAGGAAAGGCTTAAACCTTGTTTCAGCTCAGTGTTTGTCTGGATTCCCGTCCTACCATGTAGCCATTGCTCTTGAGATTGCAGTCTACCCTGAGGTGAGGCAGACAAGGTAGATTTTTAGAATCCCAAACCATTAGCTAAATAAAACGGGTTTTCTGTACAAATTAGCCTCTCTTTGGTATTTCATGACAGTAACAAAAAACTGACCAATAAAATAGTCCTTTGGAATTTTAGAAACATTTCTGATTCCTATTAGGCTCTGCAAACAGAAGGACCAAAAAGACACCACAAGATGGAGAGAAAGTAATTTGTTTCGATTAATTTTATATTTATTAGTTTCTCTTACTTTTTTTTTTTTAAGGCAGGGTTTCTCTGTAGCTTTGGAGGCTGTCCTAGCACTAGCTCCCGTAGACCAGACTGGCCTCAAACTCAAAGAGATCCACCTGCCTCTTCCCCCGAGTGCCGGGATTAAAGGCGTGCGCCACCCGGCTAGTTTCTTATACTTTTATGTGCTACATGATAACTATACTGCATTAATACAAATTTGTCTTTGTCTGATATTAAGCTATTTCCCTCTACAGCAGTATTTGAAGAATCTTTGATTTAGTTTGCAATTGTTCTGGGTCCATATCTTGATTTCTCTAGTGTTTAATAATGTTGATAGCGGTTTTGGTTTCTTTTTAAAGTGCTTAAAAACCCTCTTTGTAATCAGTTGTTATCTATGTACGCATTGTACTTCCAGTTTAGAAACTTGAAGGTTTCTAAGATTTTACTTTTAGTATTTTTGTGGTTTTAATATGAACAAAGTATCCAGACCAAACATAATATGTGTTTTCTTTAATATCTTTGTAAAATGAATTAAGTCTATGAATGTTCCTGAATTTTTCAGGGTAAGAGGTAGGTGTTGTAATACTTAACTCCTGCAGGGAATTAGCTAACTCTATAGTCCAGGTGTAGCGACAGCAAGGATCCTTTAGGAGTTGGTGAAGTGAGATGGCGAGGTAGGAAGAGTAAATTTGGATAAGCTGTAGTTATTGCATATGCATATATATATATATGCATATACATATTGCATATATATAATGCATGTAATATATCCTTTAAATATATATAAATTGGAGAAAATAAGTACAATTGACAACTACGTACCTATCAGCCAAATTTAATGATTACTAAATTTTGCCCCCTCGCTGCTCAATGTGGCCAACTAAGAAAAGGTTACTAGGGAAATGCTCCCCAAATGCATTTTCATAAACGCAGTTATGTGAAAGCATTAGATTCCTACGGTGAACTGAATAGGGGTTCTAATAACCCAAAGATGACACCGCAAACAAAGGGAAGAAATGGGCAGTGTTGATAAATTAGCAAGGTCCCGTGGGCCTCAGTGCTTTCCGTACCCACAGAGAACGTCTGGGGTCCTTGTATGTTTCTCAGAGGTTTGTTACTTCCCGGGTAACTGTGATCTCAGTAGCGCTATTACCGATCTAGCAGGAGTCCCGACACCGAGCACCTACTATGTGCTGGGCACAGCGCTACCTTTGCTGATTTCTCCAGCAATGTTTATCTGTAGACAGGCGAGGAAGTTGCCAGCTTTGACTTACACTCAGCAGCGGTCAGGACTGCGAGCACCCACACCCTCATCCCCATTCATTGCTAGTGTCTAGGAAGTGGTGCCTACCTCAGTTTTCAGAAACAGTTTGTATATTTCACCTCTGGAAAAAGGCCACGGTAACATTTAGTTTAACCCATTAGCAGAGCAAACTGAGTGTCAGCATGATTCTTGCTTTACGTCCTTTTTAGCAGTTTCAAAGTAAGTTTATCAAAGAGGAAAACTGTTCCGACTTCTATTTTCATCTTGTGTAAGAATTTAAATGAGGCAATGTTATTTGTAGACTAGAACATTTTCATAGCTTATAAAGTAGTGACTGGAATTCACACTAAAGTGTCAAAAAAGGGCAGTGAGAATGAAGAAATACACCTAGCATAGTTGCAGTAGGAAAATCTAATTCGCACGCACAGTAAACCGAAGCAGAAACACAGATGGAGCTTTCCCCGCTGTGACATTAATCATCTGTGTTTCTGCCAGACTTTCTTCTTTGTGTGTGAGGCTCCAATGAAGAACGTTTGTCAAGCAGACGGCTCCTTTTAGGGTTACACAGGACTGCCAGAGAGTGTTCTCAGTGAGGCCCTGACAGCCCTTGTTTGTCCATGATTGAAGACACACACGAAAATACAAGAGTGACCCAACCTATTCAAAATTCCTTTAAAAGTTTTCTGTTATTTCTTACTATTGTTACATGCAAGTGTGTGTGTACGAATGCATGAGTGTGTGATGTTTGGGTGGGTATACACGGCACACACGTGGTGACCAGAGAATGATTTTGTGTAGATGGTTCTCTCCTTCCACATTTACATGGGTTCTGGGGACTGAGCACATGTTGCCAGCCTTGTGCAGCAAGCAGCTTTACCAGTTGAGCCTTTTTGCTAGCCCTCAAAATCCTTCTCAATTATAACAAATTAAAGGTAAGACTTTAAATAGGAGTTTTGAGAAGAATCCTTAAAATAATTACATATTTTAGAATCCAAGCATAAAGAGGTCAGGTTCCATAAGCCTGCTAACAAAAAACAAGGCGGTTTAAAAATACTGCATGCAAATATATAGATAAACCATATTGTAAATGTTCAGAAGATACAAATCAATTCAGTAAAAACTGAGATTGGATTTATTTTCAGTAATACGAACCCATGAAAGTTATAATAAGAAAGGTAAACTTATTGTAAGTACACATGCCGGGACGCATCACAAATAAAAGAGAAATATTTTTTTGGACAGCATTTGTGAAGAGTTTGAGAACTGAGCTTTACTAACAGAAGAGAAAAGAAGTAGATGGCAGCTCAAAGCTTGCTGGACCTTCTCAGTTTTATCAGCTGCTTCTGTGGACTGGTTTTCGGCTTCACTGGTGTTCTGGTCTACTGGCCTCTGCTCGCTCTCAACCAATCTCTTATCTCCACTTAGCACAGTGACAGTTTCTAAGTCAGTTGTTAGTTTCCTTGAGTTCTCTTGTATGTGATCAACTGTTTTCCTCCTGTTGCTTTTATGGTTTTCTACCTTTCTACCTTTTAACCAATGCATCTCTGTGTATCTTCTCGTGTTTATGCTACTTGGATTTGCCTGAGTTATGTGTACTTTAAACTTTTTCATCAACTTTGAGGAGTTTTATTTTAAATGTTCTATCCTTTCTTTCTGCTCAGTATCCCATTACTTCTATACTGATGCGACTGGAGTTGCCCCGCAGATTTGGAGATTAAATAGTTCTGTTGACCTACATTTGGATTGCTGTGTTTTCAACTTCAGAATTCTCAGAAGAGAATTCAGTCCTTTGGTTCCTCCATTTTTTAAGCAATATTTTTTTTTCCGTTTGAGACAGGATTTTACTATGTAGACCAGGCTGTCGTATGCCAGCCTCTGCCTCCTGAGTGCTGGGGTTAAAGGTGTGTGTGGACATGTCCAGCGTGGTGCAGTTGTAAAGCAATGATCAAAGCTGCTTGTTTCTTTTGTCTGCCCCCTTTATGAATTATAGTCCCTTTCTCAGGGGGGGCTGGCTGAAGAGGCCTGCTCCCACTGGTCATGCCTACACGGAAAAGAGTTCCATAAAGGGAGCTGGGAGTGAAGGGGAAGGGGTAAGAAACACGGAAAGCCACTTTTCAGGTGA